CATGACAAACATCATCAGAGCAAGGTATGATCGTCACGACAAATCCCTAAAATCCGGTATAAATACTCTACATCTGGCCTCTTTGATCAAGTATAAAGCGATTTGGTTAGTTACGGTCATATGTCAACTTTTACCGTAACTAACCAAATCACTTTATACTTGATCAAAGAGGCCAGATGTAGAGTATATATACCGGATTTTATGGATTTGTTGCGGCAGTGATACCTTGCTCTGATGATGTTTGTCATGTGACGGACGAAAGCTTAGCACCTTTTCACCGGAACCGAAGGAGATTGCCTCGGAAACAGCGTCAGCATGAATCTTCCAGTAACGCCAATCGACAGCTGGTCAAGAGCAATCCGCCGTCGTCTTCTGGTGGAACCGACCTGCGAATCTCTTCAACCAACACTTTCGCTTGAAATGTAAGTAAGCCCAACAATTATGAAACAAGAGATTCCTCGAAACCCAACTTTTATTCGCATAATTCACACACCACTTTTATCCTTTCATTTTAAATGAAAGAGAGCCCAACAATATGATTTAAAGACTACTTGTCGAACTACTTAAGTATATAAATCGGTAATATCTGTTGTCATAGTTGGCCGACATTTGCGCGAATCCTAAGTATACTATGATGACCTCGTCCCCCTTATGTTTCTTTCGGCTGCTCTGAGGCCTCATAGTGTGATTAAATGTCCGAACATTCCTCTGCATAAACTAGGCAGGAGGCTAGGTAATCAGGTGGACATGCTATCTGCCAGAGGGGTTTGCTATCAAGTCTGACAAAATATTTCTTCTATATTTAGGAAAATTGGTTTTTCGAGACTATCGATACATCTGGAATGAGTCTGGTAAACCTACTTTCTTTGAATATAAGTGGCATAGTCGTTTATAATGGCAAATATAAGCTTACTTTATTGGCAATCTCACTGTTAAAATGTGAGAAACCTGTAGAAATGTACGTCTACACTGTGGCAGTGTTAACATGTGGAAAATATACGAGGAACTACCCAGGTTCGATTCCTGCTTGAGGTGCTTAAGAGGCCTTCTAGAGGTTGAGACTGCAGTTTATCCTAAATGGGAATATATTTTGGTAAGTAAGGCTGTGTAGGATTAAATGGAAAAGTGAGACATACTCATATCATTGTAGGAAAAAAAAATTTTCCTGTATTAGAAAATCCACTTTTCTTTTCTGATGAGGCCGAAGAAGAATTCACTCGCCTTTTTCTATAGATGAACAGGATACCAGATATCATTCATAGTCCAACTTCTCTTCTTATTTTCCTGCTACTCATCTTAAATCGAGCCATTCGACGCCTCGTACCGTCCAGAAGGATCTGGTAGACGAAAACGGCTTTTTGTTGTAGATGTTTTTCATTTTTTTACGTAAAGAGATACGTTTTTGGTAGCATTACTGTGCATCTTGAAGCTGATGGAGCCACAAGTTGCAAGTGCAGCGTTCCAGAAGAACATGTCTGCCTCAACAAGCGACCCTGCTGGAAGGGTTGCGTAGACGCGGCGCCAAATCACATCTTGGTACTGGCTTGTAGAGCCAAACTGAGCTATTTTAACTTACCTCGATTCTAGAATGGCTTCCTGGCTCTCGAGAGTGTCCTATTTCTCGTGTCTCGGTAGCCGAGGTAAATCTACTTTTTGCCCGACGAGTTCCGTCCGGCCCATTGAGGTCTTCTTCTTCATCTCCATCTTCTACTTCTACTCCTCTTCCTTGCTCTTGCACTATTCTATTTCGTCTTCCATATCTTCTTCTTTCCCTTTTCGTTACCCTTTTTCACCTTGACTTTACTTTAATTATTGTTCCCCTCCTTGTTCTGATCCTTTCCTTCTTCCTCTTCTTCTTCTCCTCGTTTTTTTTATTTATTTTTGTCTACTATTTCTTTTTCTTTCTCATCATCATCATAAATATGAGCATCTGCTTTTTCTTCTACGTTTTCCTCTTCTTCATTTCTTACTTTTTGTTCCACTTCTCCTTCTTAATCCTCTTTATGCCCCCTTATTCTTATTTCGCTTGTTTCATTTTTCATTATTTCACGTCTTATTTCTATGCTTTTTCTTTTCTCGTTATCATCATAATCTTCTCCTCCTTTTTCTACGCCTCTTCCTTATACCTATTTTTCTTCTCTGTCCACAACGAGTTAATCACACCTTGTCCAGCCACCCTGAGCGTGACCAACCTGCTATTAACCCCGCGCCTAGAGTCACGCATTGCGGCTATCCATCATGACTTAGGGCACAGTGTCTAAATTGGTAGGGCGAGTCTGTATGTTGGCAGGCCTGGCGGCAGGTAGGCTACGTACGTCTGGCCCTGAGGG